AAACTACTGAAAGTACAATAGATGCTCTAGAAAGGTGTAGGTGTATGAATAGTGTTGATGAATACCCATATTCATACCCACTGACTCGAAATATGGGTACAACAACAGTTTCCTGGGAACCTTCTTGATTGTCTTAGGTAATTTGTTATGTGTCTGTCGAAGATTGATTGTAACCAAGCCGTTTCTAACTTGGCGCTGTGTTAAGTGAGCTGCCATCCAGTAGCTCAGCGCATATCTCAGCATGTTTTCGATGAGGGACGAGTTCGAATACTGATTGTAGTGGACGAGATAACATTAATTCTTACATTTCAACTGAATGATTGGCAAAGTCGCACACTGCTCGGTACCTCTGTGCTCTCTTATACTCCACCAGCGTTCGGCATCCTTATTTATATCATATTTTTGACAACATACATACAGAAGTCGCCGAAACATTTCGGTCCAAGAAGATTCTCTCGTCGGTACTCTCTAGTGAAGAAAGTTGAGTATCCATGCGAGAACTCAATTGAATACATTAATCTAATCGATTTGGAGTTAGTCTGCTTTGAATGTTGAAGTAATCGAACTTTAACGGATCCGATAATCAAGAAAAATTATCATACAAATGAGAAAGCCTTATCAAAGAGGATGATACCTGTTATATGCTACGCATATGTTCACTGGAAGTCCAACGTGTTGTAGTCCGACTGCATTGCATGTACTGCAAAATAAAAGAATAGATAGAGTTGCGAGAAAGTCCATCATTATTTCAGAAATCATTTGAGTATGGAAAAGACACTATAGACAGAAAACTTTCCAGTATTCAATTTGTACGTTAATCTTCCGAGGACTTCACACAAATGGTGTGTCTCTTCGTGCATATGAATCAACCATAATTCGATCATTTTTGTATATTTTTATGAGACAGGAAACATCAACTAATAGTAATTATATTCCAGCGCTACTGGTTACGTATATTGTGGATCTGTATGTTGTCAAAAATCAGCTTTTTCTTCACATGAAAGCAAGATAACGTTGAAAATTTTCTTCATGCAGATGTTAAGAATTTAGTTGTGCATTAAGATCTTATACATAAATCTCTCATTTCTCATAGTCATTGAGCTTTCTTATCGTCAAATCATGCTACTTTCAAATCTCATGAACTGCAATGTGTGCAAATGAAGAGTTTTTAGAGACATCTTATTATATTTCAAATACGATTGCAAGAGAAACACTACAATAGCGTTGCTATTCATTCATGTGATCAACGATTAAATTATTTGTGGCCACTCTTGCCTGGCTTGACCGTGAGCTTAAATTGGCCACAGAAGAGTGGTTGTTCACGTGGTGCATCTCGCTCATAAGCCGTTAACTTCATAGAAAAATCGCCGGGTTGCAGAAGGAAGAAAAGCGTCGATGACGAGTCAATCATGTTAAACGTTTGATGGTAAAGATCGACTTCTTGAATCGGCACTGTTTTGAAAGGACATTTACTGTCGAAGCCAAGAAGAGACAAGATGGGTAACAGCATGTGAAAACCCATGTTTTCTAACAATGAGTAATCTGCAAATTGACACAGACGATCAGTGGTATAGCTGCATGAACCGATAGGTATGCCGTTCATTATATAGCATTTGACAGGAAGCGTTATGCCACGGACTGTACGATTGATATTGAACGATATTTCAAACGTTGCTATGTACAAATTAATCATTACTTATTTCATCTTCTCATTTTTACATCACTTACATATGGGTCGCTTCACAGTAGCTGCCAATGATACATTGGCGATACCTGGAATAAAGACCGGCATTGGATTAACATCAAACTGATGAATGATAAGAGCTGTGGAACCACAGTCAGTGAACTCAAGCTTGTTGAAAACGGCTTCAGCGTTGTGCATCATGATCAACACAAGGATGAAACGAGTCGCTGATGAAGCTGACATCGTGTTGCGAGTATGTAGTAGCTGCAAATGTGTGCTATAGTCTATTGATGAAAACGGTATCTGTATATCTCCATATGCTCAGGTGTTTCATTACAGTAGCTTTTGTTCTCACTCAGCATATTTTAAGCACTTTGCCACCCACAATATCATTTCTATTGTTTGCCATTTGCGTATCACAGTAGGCAGCTGAAATATTATTTGCTCTGCCTGTTTTCAATTTATCTCACACACAATCTAATACTACAATTCAAACTTTGCGAAAAAGAAAGTTCTATTAATTACCTCTTCTACAAATATACTTGTCGAACATTATTTTTACCTTAGCAAACGTGCTCGATTTTTTAGTTGATAAGTTTGTCAGTTTTCTTCATGTATATTGTGCATTACGATCAATGTTACGATCCGATGATAGAACTATTTGAGTGATAAAGCGGGGTGTGGGTGTGGATGTTCTATTGTCCAACTACACTCACATCCATAAATGGCACACAGCCCTTTTCTAGCTTGTTATATAAAAAGCCGCCATTTCAATGAGTAAATATAATGGAAATCTTATGATATAGTGAAAAAATTGATCTTGATACCCACGTGAAAAGTGTAGCACCTAAGTCAATTTGAAAAAGCTTCTGTTGTTGCCTTATTGATATTGCAAAACACTTAAACATGCTTATATGACTGAAAATTGCTTCGAAGCATTTCTGTTTCTAAAGTTTAACCTACTTCAAGTGATTCATACTAGACAAGCAGCTTAGAAGTACTTGTAAATACGATGCATAAGTGCTTATTAGCTTTGTACATGTATGCAACTACATACAAGCAGCTTGAAAATATCTTGCAACCAGAAAACTTCGTCTATATGAGCACTTCTAACTGAAATGTTTTTTCAATGTTAACCATCAATAATCTAATCTCGACCTGAAATTTCCAGTTCATCATATCATATTCATTGAAAATGCAATTTTGTCGAACCAATTGTCATCGAAATCTCGATAGACACTTTAGATAACGAGCTGAATTTTATCGAAAAACCAAAAATCATTAGCGATTGACTGTACTTAAAATATCAGTCGATAGACTGAGATCGATTGTGCATCATTCTGACGATTATTGACTGTTTAAAATAACTTTGATGTAAATGTTTCACGATGGATATGAGAGCATACGATAGAGAACTCAATTTTTCCGAGTAGGTTTATGTGGATGGCAGTCCGTTGTGAGTAACATTTCAAACAGACATATCGCAATTGATTTTCCCTCTCTTTTATAAGGTTTTCATAGAGTTTGTACTATGAGATGATGATTTGCTAGATGATGAGCTCGACGTTTTGGTCTGCACGCTATCAATTTCTAAACCTTTCTAGGAGCTTATTCTGAAAACTTATTTCTTTAAATCACTCTAGCGAAAGTTAATTATTTTGTAGTGGTCGATAAGGCAAATTTGGAGAACAGCTCTGACTATATGAAGAAAATTTGAAAATAAAAATCATCCAATTTTTTCAAGTCATTCTTTGTTCTCGTTTTGTTACTGCTACGTTCCTCAAGCGCAGTTTTGTAGTTTTTCTTCTTTAATTCTATTGGAGTTCAGTATGCATCAAGAAAATAGTCCTTGTCGAGCACCGGACTTATCGAAAGAAATAGAAAAGAAATCAAACTGTGTGAAACACCACGCGTCTTGTTTACAGAAAAGAAAAATACTTCATTGTTTTAAATTGTTTTCCTTTCCATTTTAGAATTTTTTTATGAAGATATGCCTATACTTTAGCCCGTCAAATTAAGTTCTATACATGAAGGCTAATATACTAATGATTGAATTTTTTCGTCTTTTTCTCATCCTCTCTAAAACTCTTTTTAGACCTGTTTGCTTCAAAACAAACTGAGTTTAGGGAAGTGTGCTTTTTGTAAAAAAAAAGAAGAGAAAAACGCAAAAGACCGATTGAAGAAGATTAGAGGAAAATAGGAAAAGAAGGAAATTGAGGAAATTTACATGCTACACATAATGCATTTGATAAAAAGGCGTAAAATAAATTCTATTAATGTATTTTTCGTTCGGGACAGAGAAGCGAACGCACTTCAATCAATAAAGTATATCGTTGTTGCGTTTAGCAACAAGTGATCTCAGTGATTGTTGTTAAAAACCTTTTTTCGCGAACAGCTTTGACAAGGATGTGCGCAGGTCATCTTTACTGACACCCTCACACCCTCTTTCAAATAACATATAATTTTTTCGTTAACTGTCTTTGAATTATTCCTTCAAAATTTGACTTCGAATTGACGTGTGCGTTATAATGTATTGTTTTTTCGTTAGCTAGCATTATATTTTGGAACCTGTTTGAGAGTCACTATCTAAGCAGCAGTCGCAGCGCGTCTTATGGAGCTTGAAATTATTTACACTTGAGCACATGTTTACATCCTAATGGATTGCTAATTTTTCATGACTGCATAATAACTTCATTCTGCATTATCCGATGTCCTTATTGTGTAGGTAAGACAGTGTGAGTGTTAGCTCAATATTCATAATTGGTATTTTGACGCCGACTAAGAATTTGTCAGTTAAAAACTTTCATGTTCATATTGAGAAACTATTGAAATCATCAATACAAAGTAAAATGGACTAACTTCAGTTCTTTACATATTGTTTAGAAAAACAGTGAAAAGTGATATAGAAGAGCAATTTGATGCCTATAGTCCTTAATAACTAATTCAAGCTCATTTCAAGGTCGTCGATGCCAAGAGTTTTTTTAAGTCGATTGTAAAATTTCTCTTGTGTCGATCAGAAGAACACAGTTATTTAGAGAATTTTATTCATAAAATATTTGAAATAAGCAAGTTTGCAAATAATCATGTATCAATAGGTTTTAAAACTTCTGACTGCTCAATCAACTCAAGTCCTAGAATATAACACTAAAGAATATACCAGAGTTTTATTAGTATTCATTTTTACGAATTGATCAGAAAAATAGTGAAGACAACCATCTTTTCTGTTCGTTAGCTAAAATATGTTTTCATTCATTATTTATTGTTTAAAAGTTTTGAATATAATATCTTCAAAAAATAAAACTGATATTCATCTATATTATTTTTGTTCGTTTAGATTGACCAGAATATTGACTACTGGTTCGTCTTTATAATCTTTGAATGGACGTGATAGACCATCATCTTTCTTATTCCATAACCAGTTTGCTGGATAAAGAATTCTCATTTCTTTTCCATTCATTTTTTTAACATAGATATGACGCGTTGCTGAATGACCTGTTTGTATAAACGCATACTGAAATCCTCGTGTATCTCGTGCATAATTACATAAATGGAAACGCAGTTGAGTAGCTAAACCTTTACCTGCATGATCAGATCGCGTGGCACCAGCTAATATCTTTAAAACCATATTTGGTTCTAATTCTTTGCCAAAATCATCATGAACAAAATGATTAAGCATTTCTGCATATAAATCTTGCACTGGATGAGATGCAGGACTCAATGTATCATATGGATGTCTTTTACAATGTAAATATAGGTCACCACCTGTAATTACTGCAACGATCTCATTTGTTGGACGATGCCGTGCCAGAAATGATAATTTTTGATCCAGTAAATCAATCATTAATGGCCAACTCCGTTGATTAAAGTAATCATCGGCAGTTCTCTGAGAATAAACCGTCAAAGGAGTGTGTGAAGTGAATTCTTCTGAAATTAGTTTAGCACATAAACGAGCATCTATTTCGTTGTCGATTAGAGCAATTTCATATTCATTGCTACAAGCCATGTGAAAAAGAGAAAAAAAAACAGAATGGATATAAACGAACGATGAATACCTATATTTAAATATCATATCAGTATTTTTCTCGTTCTCGTTCTGTTTCACAACCTAAAATCAATAGTGTCTGTTTGTCGATTTCACCAATCAGATATATAATCAACTAGATAAGTGCACATGCATGTTTAGATGGTAGAAAGTACAAATGAACATAATAGAAAAATATGTAACTTTGGCTTTTGGAAGAGCACTGATTCAATCAGAAACATCTTAATCTTATCAGCTTTTTTTGGTGTAAAACGTTAGAAAGTATGAGTGCATGCGTTATTTTGCTCTCCATTTCCACACCGACAAATATTGATTAGCGTTCATATTTTTCCCAGTTTAACTTTTTTGTGCTAATGATTTACCACTCCATATACTAAAGATCGATATGGGTATGAGTGTAAAGAGAAATGAACAAAAAAGTCCACACTC